GGATTGGTATTTATATTTAGAACCAAAATAAAAATCAAACTAGCTCTTATATTAAGGACCAGAGGTAGTATTTGTCATTCAATTATTTAATGATGATGATTGAATTAGATTTCAAATATATTAAAAATATATATAAAACATGCACCTGCATGTGTATTTTATATTCAAATATTTCAAGAAGAATTAAAAAAATCAATGTTTACATGTAGAATAAGTCATCCTTATTATGCAAATACTAGTTTAAAAATCATTTAAAATTTTGTGAAATAACGTTGGCAAAAAATTTTGTGAAATAAAGAAAGAAAGTGATTTCTTAAACTATTTTAATGTTATCCAGGCGGGAAAAAAAAAACAAATCCGGCAGATAGGAAAAATATTTCAATACCAAATAGATCCATTCAGCTGATTCTCAAGGCCTATCGAACTAAATAAGGGTTAAAAGTAAATGATGTGTCAGTCCAACTAGCAATATGATTTTAAACAATTTTAATAATATTGTTTTTATTTAAAAAACGGAATATTAATTTAAAGCTCTGGAGACATTATGGGCTTGTTTGGTTTCTTATCCCTGTAATTTTACTTGATTTATAGTTTTGATTCTTATGCTCTAAAAATTTATAATAAGATTCTTCTAGTGTGATTAATTTTTTAATTTACGTCTTGTGATTATGTTTTTGTTAATATTCTATTTATGTACAAGTACTTCATTATATGCAGCTTTATCACTTTGCCATAAATAATTTATTCAAAACTGTAAGCACTTGAATGCCGGACATATTTTTTTAATATTTGGAATATATATATATATATATATATATATATATATATGCAATCGAATGCCCGACATATTTTTTTAACATTTGGAATATATATATATAGAAATAGGCGGCTTTAGAACACCATTAAATAAGTTGTGCATTCACATGCATAAAGCATAGACTTAAAGATTTTCTTGGAGAGAATCAGTCTTTCAATAATTTATAAGAAAAATAAACAAATATATTTCCCCCAAGACATTATATTAGCTAGACATTCTATATAAACGAATGCAATCTTGCATCTGGCTTCTGTGCCATAAGCAAGCTTTGCTAATCTTACTTCCAGAACTCATCATTATACCCACGCCTACTACAGCCATGTCTACAACAAGGTTAACCACCACGACAATGGCTGCGTCTTCAGCTAAGTATCGCAGACTTCTTTCGTCACATATAATCCCATCGCTAAGAGTTAGTTCATGGCCATCCACGTATCAATCACCCAGCTTATCTTTCCACAATCAGGAATCAACACAAATACATCCTAGATCCGTGACTACATCGGTTTCTCTTCATGACGAGGTATACAGCTTGAAATCCATCATCATTATTTGTGCTTTTTTCCATTATTTGTCTTCCATGAATCATCATATCGATTTTTTCCCCCCTCTTTATGCCGGTGTTTGGTAGTACTGGGTAGCTGCTCCAACTGATGACTCCACACAAGTCTTGGAAGGGCTGAAAAGAAGAGTCCGAGAGGCCCTGCGAAACACGACAGATCCAAGGGCAACCTTGAAGATGATAGACACAATACAACATCTGGGAATTTCGCACCATTTCGAGCAAGAGTTGGATACAATACTGAGAGGTTTGTGTGGTTGGGACGCTGGTGACGATCTCTTTGCCACTGCTCTTCGCTTTCGTCTCCTCAGGCATAATGCCATCTTCGCCACTTCATCATCAACAGGTTCAGCTCATAATTTTTGTTGCTTTTTTACCAAAAATAAATAATAAATCTGGATACAGAAAAACCATTAAAAATACGCTTGATAATGACAATTGTTTTCTCCGAAAGTAAAAATATATAGTTTCTTGCATGAAGCTGCAACATTCAAGCATATGTGAAACTTAGTTATGCAAGTGATACATTATTCTGTGCAACTTTGAACTGATTAATTGCTTGTTGACGTCGTAGATGTTTTCAAGAAATTTATGGATGAAAGGGGGAGATTCAAGGAATCAGTGACCAGGGACACGTGGGGTTTGTTAAGCTTGTACGAGGCTTCATACTTAGGAGCAGAGGGTGAGGATATATTAACGGAAGCCATGGACTTTACAAAGCTCCATCTTGGTCGATCCTTGCCACACCTAAGCCCTGAAGAAGGACGCCATGTTGCGAGAGCCTTGAGGCTTCCGAGGCACCTCAGAATGGCGAGGCTGGAAGCCAGAGACTACATCCATGAATATGAACATTGTAGCGACCACACGCCAGCTCTCTTGACTTTGGCCAAGTTGGACTTTGACATGGTTCAATCTCTGCACCAAAAAGAGTTAACAGAGATATGCAGGTGAGAAAGATCTCAGCCTTTAAAACGTTTTTGATCATTTTGAATGCTGCATATACGGACAACTGAAGTTTCTGCTTGACATTCTTAGGTGGTGGAAAGAACTGGGGCTTGTTGATAAACTTGGTTTTGCGAGAGACAGACCCTCAGAGTGCTTCCTGTGGACAGTGGGGATATTTCCAGAGCCATGCTATTCTGATTGCCGAATTGAACTCACCAAAACCATCTGCATACTACTGGTTATGGATGATATCTTTGACTCGTTTGGTTCCTTGGATGAACTTGTTCTTTTCACTGAAGCCATCAGAAGGTTGATCTGATCTGCTTGTCAAATAAATTTTGTGTGATCACTTAAAAAATTCAACACATACATGTGATCCTGAAGTGATCATGTTGTTAATATATATACTTGTTTACAGGTGGGATCTGGACGCAATGGAGGGGCTGCCCGAATATATGAAGATATGCTATATGGCATTGTACAACACAACCAACGAAATAGCCTACAGAATTCAGAAAGACCATGGCCTGACCGTCGTTGCACACCTGAAAAGAACTGTAAGAGTATTTAAGCAAATAATCAGAAATGATGACAAATATTAGGGAAAAAAAATACTTACCAGGATGGAATTAAGCAATTCATTATTAATGACTTGGGTGCAGTGGATAGACATATTTGAAGCATTCTTTGAGGAAGCCAAGTGGTTCAACAGAGAACACGTACCAAGTTTTGAAGAATATTTAGAGAACGGTGTGACTTCTGCAGGATCCTACATGGCACTGGTTCACGCTTTTTTCCTAATAGGAGATGATCTATCAAAGCAAAATATTTCCATGATGAATCCATATCCAAGACTCTTCACTGTGTCTGGCCAAATTCTTCGCCTTTGGGATGACTTGGGAACTTCAACTGTACGTGTGGCTTTCTTTAAGTACCCTTCTTTTTTCATTTTCCCCTATAGGATCTCCATTGATTTGTAATAATAAACGAATGATGAAGTTTCGCTGTGATAACTAGGAGGAACAAGAAAGAGGAGACAACGCATGCAGTATTCAATGTTACATGAGAGATAATGATCATTTAGGTGAAGACAAAGCGAGAAAATACGTGAGAGAGCGAATAGGGAAGCTGTGGTGGGAACTAAATAGCATAGCAATGGCATCAAAGTCTTTGCCATGGTCAACTATGAAGGCTTCGCTTAACCTGGCAAGAACTGCGCAGGTCATTTATGAGCATGGAGATGACAAAAGCGCGTATAGCGTGGATGATTATGTACGCGCATTGCTCTTCCAATCATTCTCAAACAGCTAGTACTGAATCCCACATATATAAACCCTTATTTGGGACACATATGGTTCCTTCATCCCTACTTTAGTCCTAGTCTGAATTTGTATTTTGTTCTTAAATATATGTCCAGTTCGAAATTTCAAGTTATTATGATTATTAATTGCTTCCAATAATACCTCTATTATTTAAATGGAGGCCATTAATTAATAGAGTTAGTTGAATTTCAATTCTATTGTACTATAAACCAGATGTAATATTAAGGATTGGAAGTTGTATTCAGTTTTGTCATATGCTATTTGATTGAATATTTCAGTTTCCTTTGTTACTCGTAAATTTAAGAATTTTCTGTTTTCCGAAATAACCCTAGTACTCCAGGCAAAATTTCATCTCCCTGGTTGTGACTGAACTTGAGGAGAATAAATATAATTGAGATGCATGAGAAGGGGAAGCAGGCGGATATGTTGACATTTTCGGCATTAAATTGTCTTAAGATTCCTTTAACATTCACAGCTCCTTTACCTGTTGGATCTATAGAAGTTTTCTATAACACAAGCCAAAGGAAGCGCAAATAATAATGCAGGAAGATCAGAGTATATATAGACCAGTAGAATTGGATCGAAGAAGAAGCATAACCATGGAAAAGACGATAGACTCTCAATATGGTGTGGTGTTTAACCTACTAATTATTCGCGTTTTTGGTTTTGATAAGACTCTTGTTTCCCGTATGATTCACCCATGACAAACAGATATAAGATGCAAGGATAAAAGCTGACAATGACAGGCGCAGCTGTATGGAACCTTGAATAGCCTCGTCGAAGCTTCCTTCTCTTTCCTCATGTAACGATGAATATGCTTTAAGTTTTTGTTAAACTAATTGGATAACTAAAAGTACTTTTCAGAAATATTTTTTCACAAATCAAGATAAATTTTTTTACATATTACTTTTTATTGTAAAAATATTTTAAAATTATAGTTTTATTTCTATAATATAATATCTGATCTAATAATTCATGGTTAAAAAAAAGAAGACAGGAAAGAAAAAGAAGAAGTGACCTAGAAATTAAGCAGGATTAATGATTTCGGTCAAAATACGTAAGAAGTGACCTAGAAATCAAGCACGATTGATGATTTCGATCAACATAGGTCACACGATTCTTTCGATTGGTATGTGAGACTTGGTCAAAAAATAAGAGTTTAAAATTCTGTAATAAGATATGATTTCTCTTCAACAACATACAATTACAAAACCCAGCGCCACATCTGAAATTTGTCCCCAAACAGATAAATGATCTGATAATTATCGGTCAATTATACAATATCAACGGTTAGCAAAAATATATATAATATCAGCAAAAAACGAAAAGATAATCACGTGTATATTAATTATTATTAATTCCTAGAAAGCTGAATGGGTTCGACAATTAATGATCGAATCCGGCTTTTGGATGTGGAATCCGGGGCTCCATGGCCATCACCATACTGGTAGGTGCAATGGGAAGTTCTGGCAAGGTTCATCGCAGTTTCCACAAAAGCTTTTGAAAATGTGGACTCCATTTCTCTTCCTTTGTTCATCTCCTTCCAAGTCTCATCCACCAAACCGCGTACGTATTTGTTGCTATTCTCCTCAGTGGCCCCACTTTGATGCATGTGACATACTATCGAACTTGCTGCTTCACCTCTCTCTAACTCCGCCTGCAAAAACGTTAAGAATGAAGACAGTAATTAAAACAAAGTTCTCGATAATCAGAGCTTTCGGAGAGAGATAGAGAAAGGACAGGCTACCTTTGATGTGCCCAAATCGTTGCAGAGCCGAAAAATAACGGAAGGGCAATGCAAAAGGTGATGGTGGGGTTCCAACGATTGAAGTGACTCCTCTGAGAAGTTGTGATCAAGAAAGAAATAGGCATGAATGAGGATTAATACTCCTGAAACTGACACCCATGCGTTTCTCAAGTAGGCATCAAATGAGGGCAGATGTTTGTCATGGGACCACCTGGCTTCTTGCAGGAATGCTTTCAACATGTCTGCCCACTTTCATAATTAAGAAAACAGATGATTAGTGTCAAACCCAAATGGTATTTAGCATGTGATATGTTTGCAATGTATAAGTGAAGAGTCGATTTTTTTGAGCACTCACAGCTTTGGTGAGGTAGGGCAGGATATTGCGTCCTTGCTCTCTCAGTGCCTCATAAGCCATTTCATTGACAGTGTTGTACAGAGCTAGGAAACTCACTTTCATGTACTCTGGCAGATCTTGTATGGCATTGATATCCCACCTGAAACATCCAAAAAAGAATTCACCATATAATATTCGTTCGTACGTAATAATATCTGTGAAATAAATCAATTCGAATATAGAAGAAAACAAACCTTTCAACAGCGGTGGTAAAAAGCTCAAGTTCATTCAAAGTGCCATAAACATCATATACATCGTCGATTGTGGTAATGAAACAAGTGACTTTGGTTAGTGCTTTTCGAAGCTCACTCTGTTGAGGTTCGGACGCCATTCCCACGGCCCAAAAGAAGCACTCCGTTAGCCTGTCCCTGCTGAAACTCAACTTTGAGGCCAATCCCATCGCCTTCCACCACCTATAATTCATTATATCAATATTAATTTGAAGCCAACTTTGTCTTTTGATTTCCTATTATTTGATGTATCATAAATGTATGTATATAGGGGATCAAATATAATAAACTGACTAACCTTGACATTTCTTGGAGATCTCTCTGGAGTGTTGACTGTACTATGTTAAAATCCAGTACAGCAGCTTCGAGAAGGACCGCGTCTGCGTCTTTTCTCTGACCATAGGCTTCTATGTACCATCTCGCCTCTAACCTTCGTGTCCTGCGATGCACTGGAAGATCCAGCGCGTGACTGATTGCTTGTTCCAACAGATGATCGTTGCTTACATGTTGCTTTATGTCTCTAAGATGGATGGTGGTGAAGGCCTTGGCTTCCTCCAGAATGTCCTCTCCTTGGTATCCCAGAAATGTTGCCTCGTACAGACTCAACATCCCTTTCACATCTCTGCTGAGGCATGCCTTAAAATTACCGTTTTGGTCCTTGAAACTCTCAAATATATCTGCGTTATTTACGTCCCAATCACATCGTTAAATTTAGTTTATCTGAGAGGAGTAATTAAAAAACCCCATAAAGAGAGCCATATGCATATATGGTAACGTCCATAATAAGTGGAAAGGTACCTGGTGAGATGTGATAGCCATGATCTCTGAGGAGTCTGAAGCTTAGAGCAGCTTCATGTAGGCTTGTGTGCTGTTTTGTTTGAGAGCGTTTTTGTTTCCAAGAGACATAACAATCAAGAGCGTGTTTGATCTCACTCTGAAAGCGGTAGCCAAGGCCTAGGCGTTGGACGTCGTCAATGAGCTCAAGTTTTGCCAGTGGCTCCGTATTTTGATTCAAGATCATTCTCCTCACATCCTCGAGCAGATTCCTTTCTCTGGTTTCGTACTTCTCATCCTATAACAACAACCTAAGTATTGTTAATTGTATGTCATAATAATAGAAGACGGTGAATAACGTTCTCTTTATGATGTGAATTAATTGAGCAAGAAATGAAGTAAATTACCGTATAACCATTGTTCAGGGACTGGAGGAAGTCGTAATTCCAGAGGGTAGGCTGGTAGTTGGCTGAGTTTCTTAGAGAGGAAGGAGGGAGGGAAAGGGTCTGCTGGGTGGCCAAGCATCGGAGGTTATTGTGACTATGACCAATTCTGTGAAAGGAAAGAGACCCTCCCGGTTTGTTGTTCTCTCTAAAACTGAAAGAGATGGGGGAGGAACCGGGCAAGAAGGCACTCGCTAGGGCCATAGTTCAGGCTAGTTTGCTAATTATCACTAACAACGTTACTTTCAATTGCGAATGTTGAGTGCTTACCTTCCTTCGCTATGCAGTGCTGTATATATATATAGCACGGTCCCCAACTTGCAGTCTCTGTAATTCTGATCATATGTAACGTGATTCCTTTTTTTTTTTTTTAATTCAAATAAAATAACAGTAGTTAATGAGTCACGTTTTATATGCACGGAGCTTTTAATTAATTAGGTTCATAGGTCTGAGTTTGTACATATGCATTTGTATCCCAGAATGAAAAGCGCGTATTATTTCATTGGATGGTCCCAAACTCGAACACCGGAGGAACTTACACGTACACATGCGGGATAAAATATCATAGGTCATAGGATAATCGCGAGTCAAGTTGAAGTTGCAAGCATTTTTTACTAGAAAAACTATTGTTTGCAATCAGAGTAGCTAACAATATGGGTGGGAAGGGTTTTAGGTTTGGGACACGTACGAGGTCAGATGTCAATTTCATTCATTATAATAATATAATTCGGATTCATACGTATCTGAATCGGTGAGGCCATGCCAGCGTAAAGATTTGTTAATGATATCGAGGCTAATCGATTCACGTGCGAATTTGAATTAATTAATTAAGCAGAGACGCCATAAGTCACAAACTGAAAAGGACCAAGCTGGCGGGAAGGTGTGTCGTCGAGCATTATCATGTTACGAGTATTAAATATATAGTTCCGCTCTTCACATGCTCGTAAGCCATAAATTTGCATATAAATGACCACCTTGGGTCAATTCCGGCTCCCCAGTCTAATCTAATTCGGAATCATCCTGCGAAGCTTCGTGATATATCGTGTGGTATTATGGATGTGTGAAATTTCTGAGTCCTAACGACCATCCAACGTGGACGCTAGTGCCATGTTACGTCATCTGTTTTTTTTTTGCCCTTTTGCCAACCATATTGCGTCATCATCATGACGTCGCTAATAACTGAAGTGACTTCCGTAACAATCTCTTCACACGCCGCCATAGCTTTGTACGGATCATTCGTCGCTTTAGGCCTGTTAATAAACTCCGGCCCAGAGAGGGCGAAAGTATTCCGGCCCACAAGCGATCATCCGATACTATTGCCACAAGGACAGATTTGTATTATTTACTAAAAATATAACGATTCATATTTAATAGTAGTATTCAAAATAATTTAATTTGAATATTTCAAAAATATTAAAATGTTTGATATAATGAATCTTTAGTTTAGAATTAATAAGAGTTCAATAAATATTTGAACAAGATTGTGAACTTTTTTTTCTCAGCATCGCTTCTATTAGAAACAGTCTTATTCGAAACATTATTAGGTTCTTACAATAGAGATTTGAACATTGGTTCATTATGATGTGAGGGACTAATTCCTCTTGTAACACCTAACCCCATTGGTAATACTGTTGTGAACTAATAATGGACAAAAATAATATTTATTTTCAGCAATTCTGACATCACGTTAATTGTCAAGCTTAGTCGATCTAATAACACAGTCTCTTGATCCCTTCAACAATTCATGACTACTGAGACCGATTAATTCAATACGAATTTTTGAAGTATGATTAGAAAACATTTAGTCAGTAATGAAATAAAATATAAATATTTGGAGAATTTACTTGAATAAAGAATGGTATGAGGCAAAATTCAGAAAATATGATAGGCGAGGATGACCAGCCAAGAGGTCAAACCCAGAAGTTTTTTTTTTTCCATGCATTAGTATTTTTTTATTAAAAACAATTTTATTTGAGATGCTATTAAGTACTAAATATAAATATTTCTTTTAGCAGGAATTTGAATATCGGTTTAAGCCCTGAAATTTATTGTGAATCTAAGCCTTTGAAAATAAAGGCGTGGAGGTAGATATGGACATTTAAGTCCCCATCGTCTTGTTTGCCCAGCACCAAAGTTGGTCTTCAACGTTGGCCCATCTTTGTCTTGCCCTTTGTTTTGTATCCGTCACTATTGACACAGACATTTTTTGGAACCAAAAATGAGCTCCCCGTTCAATTATTATGCCCGCTTCACAACCGATTACTGATTTCATTTGAGGGGTGAAGAATATTAAAATGCTTTTACTCCTTTAGCAAAGCCTTTATTACACGCACAATAACACTAGAGATTGCATACTAACGACCCAGCTACTGATCAATTGAACCGATATCGGAGTTTTTCCCGTGGTATATTTTTTATAGTGAATTAATGGTATAAAGTACTACTTCCAGTCTTTTATATAAGAGCTAGATAACTAATTTAAGAAGATTAAAAAAATTAATTAAGTTAGTTATACGTAACAAATTTGTGTTTACTTTCCTAAATTACACTTGTTTAATTATGTAGAATGAAACTATACTTAGATGGAAATACTTTATAATTAATAGAGATATTTTTGAAAACACATTATAAATTTGAAAGATAAAGTGAATTTGAGTCTTATATTTAAAATAATGAACTAGCTCTTATATTTAATCATGACTCGGAATACGTTTGGCTCTAGTACAAAATATAAAAAGCTTTTTAGAAAAAAAAAAACACTGGTTCAAAATATATGAAATTGACAAAGTAATCAATTGATAATTCTTCATTTTCACTTTTTGTTGCAAGAAAAAGAGAGAGGAGATAATCTTCCAATCACATTTTCTGATAAGGGTAAAATACGTAACTTTTATCAATTTAAAACATATTTGATGACTTAATCAATATTTATTGGTTTGTAACTAAGCCTAACTTACATCTAATAATATCAGCCGAAGTGATTATTATTAGTACTGCCTCATAACATGCTTGCTCCCAACTTCTATGAAACAATCGTCTTACATTAGCTGCCATAATGCAGAGATGCGTTATCCGGAGGTGGAAGACATTGATGATGTTGGACGGGAATCGCCGTTGTTTCTCTTTCCTGGGATCAAATGGCTAAGGGCATGTTTGGTTTGAGGGGAGGGAGGGGTGGGGTAGGGGAGGGGAGGTTTCATCTTCATCTTGTTTGGTTTGATTAAAAAGGAGAGGAGGGGAGGGTATTTAATGATTCTTTGTTTGGTTCAAGAGGAGAGGGAAGGGACAGTAATAATCAATTTACCATTTTACCCTTACATATTAGTTTATGTTTTTTATTGATATAGTATATAAATTAATCTACATCTTAATTTAAATAATATAATTTAATAAAAATTCAATCTTATCATGTTAATATGTGTATTAAAAAATTGGTACAGTAATTTTTTATTCTAATTAATATAATAATATATTTAAAATAATCAAATTAACAAATCTTATATGCTCTAAGAAAAATGAAATTTTATTTTCTTTAGGCTATCTTTTTTTCCAGCTTTAAAATATATTTAATAAATAATATATTTATAAAAAACAATTAATTTTATAATATTATAATTTTTTATTTCAATAATTTTTTTATTTTTAAATAATTTTATAATATATTTTTAATTATAATAATGTATATATTTTTTATTTTTTTCACTTAGGATAATATATTTTTTATTTGAAATAAATATTATAATAATATATTTTATGGGTAGAAGTGGAATATTAAAAAAACTATAAGGGTATAATGGTCCAAAATTTTGGCTCCCCTCCAAAAACTCCCAATTTGGAGGGGAGCCAAAATGGGAGAGGGAGGGGAGGGGACATTTTAGCTCCCCTCCCCTCCAAAATTTTTAACTAAATGAGGAGAGGGGCTCATTTCCCCTCCCCTTCCCTCCAACCAAACACACCCTAAGGAAAAAAGGAAGGAGGATTAAAAATTGGAACAACCCACAAATTCTCAAATGAAAAATTTCTATAAAAACATGTTATTTTTTCTGTGAATTCTTTCTTGGGAATTATCCACGCCGGCAACAAAAATAAAAAACACCAGAATAAAAAAAATGCCGTCACTGCCTACTCCGGTATGGTTTTTCAAACACCGAATTCACGTGCCATGTTACGCCCACAGGACGGTCGCTCTAGTGGATTCACGTTGTTACTGTAGTAAACACTATGCCCAACCAGGAGTTGACACGTAAAGCCCACGCTCACCAGTAGAAGGCGAGGAGAATACGTGGCGAATGTGGAATGGGCAACGATGTAGAGGGAACGTCATGTGAGAGAGCAGTTGATCTAGACCAAAATTCAGAGAGTTTGAGGAAATCACAAGGGCAGGCTACGAACAATGGGATGGGGGTTGGGGAAAAGGCTCGGAGACGGAGGTGAATGGTGACATGTCACGTCAACATGCGTGCACTCCACCTCATCCTATTTATTCCTCCTCGTTTCTTGCGCTCTTTCCAATTTTCTTACCCCTTCTCCGCTGCTCTGCGCTTCAGCCTTTCCCTGACACACGCCTGTCTGATTGCTAATTACATTTATATTTCTTCTTGTGATTAATACTGTATGTCACACATCTATTTGTATTTTTCTTCACAATTTTCCTCATATTTTAATAAAAAATATTATATTATTAAGAAAAAAAACAGGAAATCCTCAACATACGTTAATTTAAAATATAAATAACTTAAAAAGTAATTAATATTTATTTTTCAATTTTATCTCAATAATTAATACTTAAAAGTAATTCTTTATATATTTTTTTGCTCTCTTTCACAATTTCATTTAACATCAATAAAGTTTAAAAAATTAATTTGAAACATATTTAATTAATTACTCTTCTGATTTTATTTATAAGTCATTTTCAAAATATTTCATACAAATAAAGAAAGCATTTAAACTTTATTAACTCTTATTTAATATTCAATAACTTTTTAACTTTATCTTTTTTTAATATACATTATATTTGATATAAACAAAATCAACACAATAATAAATAAAAGATAAAATTATATATCCAGACAAAATAATTTCTCTGGATACCCTATAAATATAATAAAAAAAACCTTCTCTCTCTGTCCTATCATAACTAGTATTCCTCTAATCCTAAATATAAAACATATTTTATAATATTTGTACTATAAAATAAATTTTATATTTAAAATATTATAAAATAAATTTTATATTTAACATAACAGTGTTAATAATTTTTTCATACCAACCAACTAGTTAAAATGAGTACGTATGGCAAGTTTTGCCAGTCTTCGTTTATTGCAAGATGCTACTCCACATTGCTAGCTTGTACATTTTTCGAGTACTACGTAGGACGTACGTCACTTCTTTGATGCCCCCCCCACTTTTGGGAGAATTGGCTCCTTCTATTTTAGATGGAGTTTTAAATAAAGAAAAATCATAAATTGTAAATTAAAAGTAATGTTCGTATTTTTTTTTTCCATCGCTTCATATTATTGCTTTTAAGAACAAAAAAATTAATAATGTGGAATATTAGTGACAGATATATCCATGCATATTTTTACATACAAAAAATGAAAAAAAACAAAATAACAGTTAGTTGTAATTATATAATTTTAATGTTACGTCAGAGTTTAGAATGTTAAAAAAAATGAAAGAAAAATAGAAGTAAAATGAATAAAATATATAGTGAATGGGTAAACGGACTATGAGTTAGATGACGCCAAAGGCAAAGGAAACGAAGATAATGAAATAAAAATAAAGTGCCCCACTCCCCCCGCACGTCCGCAAATGCGACCCCTATCATTTCCTGCCTCGGGCTCTTCTCCCCCACACATCCAATTTGCATTCTACAATATTATTTTTTATTAAAACACAGATTTAAGTAAACTGGGTCTGGGATTTTGTGGTAAGGGTGTGTTTAATGTTGCAAATCTGGTTAATGTTAAATTTTTGTTTCACCTTGTTTTTCCTGTTAAACTAGGGATTACTTATCAAGTAATATAAGAAATCGAGACTCTATATATTTATTCCGCATACTGTAAAAATATTTTTAAAATATTTTATTTTTATCTAAACAATCTAATTTAGACAGCAATTTTGTCTTATTATTTGACAAATACACTCATGCACGCAGAAGCTGACCCACTCGCATGCCGAAGAGAGCGGGAATGCGATCCTGGAATACTCCTTCCGCTCTTACAGGATATCCGTCCCTAATATATTTGTTAGACATATTTGAAACAATATTTCAAGGTTAAATGTTGAGTGCATATAAAAAATATTTGAGATTGTGCTAGATAAATTTTATCCCCATCGTATGCTATAAGGAGGCTGCTTTTTTTTTAAGAATCAGAAAAATTGGGAGTAAAAAACCGAACTCAAATTGATTTTTGGTTTGATTAATTCGGTGTCGGTGTTAATGGGAAGTGAGAGGCGAGTAATAATTCGGGAGGGTGATTGATTTGGAGCGAAGCAGATATTAAAATGGCGAGGGGGGAAGTGAGGGTGCGCATGCGCAAAATATCTTGAACCGGACAACACATATTGACAACTGCAAGTGCAAGGAACTCTTACCCCCACAATTATAGCAACTGTACCCCCCTCGTCCTTACTCTACTTTTCCTTCATCCTTCTCCACTCCCTCCGTACAATAATTGATCAATATCCACACAGCCCCACCCACACCCCCAGGCCACCGCCAATTCACCATTTTCACCTCCCCTTTTATTTGCCCCAGCCACTTGAATTTCACGCTCTGCCACTATCGAAACTGGCGGTAATTAGAATGCCAGTGATGTTAAGCATTTGGCTTGATGCTAATAAAAAATGCGAGCCGTGAACTCAATCGGATGACTTTAGTTGTTGTTGGTGGCCACAAATTGAAGTACGGCGCAGTTTCCTCTCTCGATGTGCTCCTTGTGGCTATATTTGTAGTTTTTAGGGGATCAGGAATCAAGATGGGGTGTTTGAGTCGCCGGAGACAAGTTTTTTCTTATAATAAATCCATGAAAAGGTGGTTGCTTTTCTATCCTCATATCATGTATCTCTTTTTTCTTTTTCCTTTTTAAATACTCGTGGGGCAGTATTCGTCAGCCCCACTTGCCATTTTCCCCAGATTAAAATTCACTCTAAATTAGGATGCTTTATTTGTATAGAGAATTACACATCTTTCTCCCACTCACTGGGCCATTCCCTCTCAAAACATCCACATTATTCAAAATCTTATCGCCTCTTTAGCTCGAGAAAAGAGTACTGTGTATAGTATAGTTAATTATTTTTTCCGGGAAAAAATTACACGTCACCCATATAAGGCATCTGAAAAGTTTTTTTTTTATAAATAGTAGTATAACTGACGAGGTCCTTGGCCGTATACTACGCCAGTAGTGTTGTACACTGTGCAGCTGGAAAAGGAGTTAATAAAAGCAAAGCAAAGCAGATAGGAGAGGGAGGCCGCTCTCACTCGCACTGACACACTCTATTCATTCGTACGTGGAGACCAACGCGCGTCTTCTTCACGGGTCCACTACTCTCCTTTCTTTCCTTCTATCTTTTCTATGGGTGAAAATTCCTCTGTTTTTAAAACAAATTATTTATAACTAATGGGTGAAAAATTATTTCTTTAATCTTTTTGCCATCGTGAAAAATTAAATTTTGGGTGAGAGCAACGTATGAAATTATACTCCTATTCATAGTTATGTTTGAAGGTTTAATTAAAACTATTTTAAAAACAGAATGTAATTTGTGTCTTTTTTCGTATTGATTTTGAATTTGAATTGAATTCATGATACTGTAAATTTCTCACATTAAAAACTCATGACAAAGAAGCGACAACTGGACAACCCAAATAGCCAGCTGTACTGCTTCCCGTGGCTCCATTTTATTGGTTGACAGACCAAAGATGTCTTTCTCTCTGCTCTCTTGCCCCGCCCAGGCATTCTGATTTTGCGAAGAGGCTTTGCCCGCACACCGTAACGGCTATATTTTACTACATCCACTTGGAGTTGAGATAATAAATTAATAATAGTTATAATTACTATTACTAATAGTATTAATACTCTTTCTATCTTTAATATAGGATTTAATTATTGAGTTAATTTTAATCTTAAATATAAGACTTATTTTTCATAATTATCAATTTTTTCTAAATTATCCTTATAGATACTTTCTCAACAATAGTCAAGTAGAAAAGAAGGAAGATGATTATGATATTTTAAAAAAAATATATCATATTTTTTATAATTAACGAACTTACGTAACTTTTTTAATATAATTAAATTAGTTAAATAGATCTTATATTTAGGATCGGAGGAATACAATCTTTTTATCTCTCAATTTCATAATCATTTTGGTCTTAGTTCTTTAATTTTTCAAACTATATTTTATCTCTTAAAAGGTAAAATGATCTAAAAAGTTCTATTGAATTATAAAAACTAATATTTCAAATGAAAAGAATTTAAAAAACCAAAACTTATAATTTAAAACCTGAGAGTCCAAAATTAAAATAAGAATGAATTTGAAGAAGCAAAAGTTATATTAATATTATTATTTCATTCATTTTTTTTCCCTTCAATTTCTCGGAGTTTGCAATCCATCGTGTCAAATGATGTGGCCAATGGCATGGGAATGGAAGGTAGGAGGATCGGGCTTGTGTCACAAGCCGATTGAAATTCACTATAAAACCCACCCGCCCTCATTTGAGTGTTCACAGAGAAGCATTCCAGAGTAGTAGAAGCTTCACTCTCCCTCTTCATTCTGTCCCCTCCCACTCTGAGTCCTAACACCCCCCCCCCCCCCCCAAAAAAACCAAAAATGTCTGGCCTTCTGGGTCTTCTTTTGTGTCTTGTGATGGCGGGGTTGGCTAACTCTGCCAAATTTGACGAACTTTTCCACCCAGCCTGGGCTTTAGACCATTTCATCTATGAAGGAGACCTCGTCAAACTTAAACTCGACAAATCTTCTGGTAAATCACGTTCACAATCCCTGGGTTTAACTATTTAATACTTTCACTTCGCCGTGAGCTTTACATTCTACTGTTGAGTCTTCTGCTGAACGCTTTTTTCTTTCCTTCCATTTGTTTTATGTTATAATGTCTGCCTGCCTGTTCTTGTGACTCGGTTTCTACCGATCATTACCATCCTTCATCATTGATCCGTCGGTTTCAGGTGCCGGTTTCGGATCCAAAGGCAAGTATATGTTTGGGAAGGTGACCATTTTGCTTAAGCTTGTGGAGGGTGACTCTGCCGGGACTGTCGCCGCTTTCTATGTAAGTGATTACGAATTGTTTTCATCAACCTGAACTATGATGGGTATTTTCCTACCTAATAGCTCAAGATTTCCATAGTGAACATAATTTACCAAGGCAAATTATTAGATTCCAATCTTCAATGAGTGGATGGTACACTGTCCACTAGCTGCAGCCTGCACCTACCTACTCCTTTTTACCTCCCGTGACCTACTTTACACACAATTAATCCTGCATTTATACTTTGGTCCCCAACGACAATCGACAAACCTATAATTGCTTATAATTAAATCTGGAGTTGAAAATAAGGCTGAGGTATCGGAGTGACAATGACAGGGGTGATCAATTCATTTCCTTTGATGCAGATGTCATCGGACGGTCCCTATCACAACGAGTTCGATTTTGAGTTCTTGGGCAACACCACAGGCGAACCCTACTCCGTCCAGACCAATCTCTATATCAATGGCGTTGGCAACAGAGAGCAGAGACTTAACCTCTGGTTCGACCCCACCAAGGACTTCCACGCCTACTCAATCTTCTGGAATCAGCGCCAAGTTGTGTATGCACCCATCCCACTGTGGAGCCTAAACTTTTTTTAATCTGAATCATAATAATTAACTTACATTTAATAATTATGCGACTTAAAAGTGGTCAGTTAATAATTACAAAGCCAGAGCTAAGCAGAGCTCTGTTTCAGTGCTCGGTTAAAGCAAAAAAGACAGTAAAATAATGGTTGTTGAGCTATCATAGGCCTGGTGTGTGGCATCATATTCCCGCTAAATCACATAAAAACAAACCGATGGTAAAGAAGGAATCTTCGATAATTTATCCCGAACACACACTCTTGGTGGGTCCGTCGCATAAAGACGCGAGTCTCTCTCTATTCATCTCCCTCGGTTTCTGGCACTGCGGGGGACACATCATCATCCACCGTGCCCGTCATTGAAAAGATATTTTTTTCACTCTCCTCATTGGACAATGTTTTGAAATTTGAATGGCATTTGTTTTGCCCACATGTTTTCAGATTCTCAGTTGATGAGACGCCGATAAGGGTGCACACAAACATGGAACACAGGGGAATCCCGTTCCCAAAAGGCCAAGCCATGGGCGTGTATAGCTCAATCTGGAACGCAGACGATTGGGCGACGCAGGGAGGAAGAGTGAAGACGGATTGGAGCCACGCTCCGTTCATTGCAACGTACAAAGGCTTCGAGATTAATGCCTGCGAGTGCCCGGCGACAGTGGCGGACGTGGATAATGCAAAGAGATGTAGTAGCAGCGACGATAAAAAGTATTGGTGGGACGAACCCACAGTGTCGGAGCTGAGTCTGCATCAGAGCCACCAGCTGATGTGGGTGAGGGCTAACCATATGTTTTATGATTATTGCTCCGACACGGCTAGGTTTCCTGTGGTTCCCGCCGAGTGTGTCCATCACCATCACTAGGACTGGCGAGGAAGAAAATCAAAGCGGGGCTTTTGTGAATGGGGTGATGAAAATGAACTGAGTAAGAAATCGAGAAACATGAGCTTCATGTTTCACTCTGTAACATATCGTCGTAGCTATGATGTTATGATGTTAAGTTTCTTGTTTTGTTGTTTGTACATATCAAGTGATAAATCTTGTTGATCAAGATAAGACTGTCCAAAGCTGATTGCTTGCTTTCTTTGAGTGGGATCCACTGTCATTAATCAGAGATGAATTTCATGATGGAAGATGGCCAGGAAAAAAGCAAACACGGGGGTGTTGAGCTGATACAAGAAGCCGTAATTAAAATTTTGTTCATGAGTGATAACTGATAGGATTGAAATAATTACGAGGGGGTAGGAATACGGATGAAGGGTCCTGAATATTCACTTCGATGATTTTTATAAGGTTTTTTAAATAAATATATAAAAATTGAGCATTGTTTTTCATGTATGTCATTATTTAATAAGCAAAAAAAAATGAGAGAAAGAGAAGTACTAGTAATGAGGTAAAAGATAAAATAAAATCTTGTAATATAAAAAGTAATGGGAAGGGGGTTTTTTTTTTTTTTTCCCCTTCCCTTGATAAGCGTAATGGGAGGGGTATTGCTATTACTTATGTTGACTAGTTGCTTCAATATGACATGTGAAGGCTGTGGAACAATGAGTGGGGTTGACTTTAATGCGAATAATTCACTTGATTAATGAATGCTGCTTACAAAGGATGGACCCTTTGGTGTGTGCGGGCCCCATATTTCATCGTCCATAAATGGTGATGGCTTCGTCCATTGCAACGCCCATGCATCTCTCACTAATGAAAAACCTTAATTTTTTCCCCTCAAGAAAAGGGTTACCATGAACTGGGCAAAAATGTCGTATTAAATTTTTCAATTGTGTTGAAAAGATGCTGAACGTAACGTATCATTCACATTATACTAGTATAATTTCATTGTGTGTATTTGCCAACACACACACACACACACTGCCCGTCGGCGTCGTTTTATCTATTTTTTAAAAATGTATCATATTAAAAAATTACGTTAAAATGATCACTGGAAGGTAAATCTATGGATGAAACATTTAACCTTTTAGGCGCCCACACCACAACTTCATCTGATAATGACCAATGGCGTGGATAAGGACGAGGGTCTAATTTCTTATAAAGGAAAAAAACATTACAAATATAATAGCCGATTCTTTATATGTGGGCACTAAGGGCCATGGCATAAATGATTGAAATCGAAACTTGTCAGTTTCCTCTGAAAATAAATAAATAAAAAATAAATGAAATAACCTTGTCGGGTTCCTGTAATTTGCCAATTACCATGCGAAGGTTTGAAAAAAGATTCCCAATCAGCATCATATCTTGGGCTTATTTTTCAGATAAGAGCTTTAGTAGTAAATTTATATTGTTCGAGTGTTAAATTATATAAACTCCTTTTTAATTAATCTACCTCATATGAATAATAAGTACTTATAGTTTAACTGATAATGTTGTTGAGCGATCTGATCTGATTGATGAAGTTGAGAACCTCATTAATAATTGGCTTGTGAATTTAGTCCTCCATTGTAATTTTGTTCCTTGTGGAGGCAAGCAACTTAAAACATATTTAAGAGAACTCACATCTGATTCAATTTCTATATTATACAGTACGATAATTTAATTGTGGCCCCGAGCGTCCCCGGAATCACATAATTATTTTCCCTCTTCTGAGGTGCATCATTTCAGGAGCAGTGACGTCTATGTGGTCTATTTCCTGATTTTCAGAGAAGCCATCCTTGTCATTTCTTTCGTGTCTGCCACACTGAAACTTCAAAAATGTCGGCAGCCCCTCTGTTAATTTTATGGTGTTCTTTTTCGGAGCTTTGTAACAGAACAAAGCTTCTCCACAAATCCCAGGATCATCAACTTAATGTAAAACATTACAATGTGTCACTAATAAAATTGAAAAGGGTCTGAGCATAACCCCCCGACATCTACAGGTCATCTGGTCAAAAAAAAAAAAATCTATAGGTCATGGGATCCGCTTAAGATATGTGTGTCCAAATTTTGGTCATATATCAGCATCCTCCTGAAAAATGCCAGTGTGACTTGGACTGCATAAAGTTGTGAGGCGCTAATGGACCCACGCTCGGTCATTATTATTGTGAGCATAGGACAGAGTATGATATTTGATGAACAGTATTTGGAGTGTTTAATGCTGAACCCAATTATTAGGCTCACTTTACGAAACAAAACGTGGGCAAACTGTGTGCCCATCAAAGTTTTACGTCTTGTTTTGTCGTGGGGTAATTTAATTGAGAAAGTCATATGGTCGGTCAGGGTAATTAGCCTGGCAAGGTAAGATAGGATCGGCTCTGCTCCAGGTGATATGGGCCGAGAGCGATGCCCGCTGGGTCCTAAAACCCGTCGTCAATCTCTCTTCCTGATTCGACGAGGCAAATGATTGATTGATGAAGGGAAAAAGGACAAGGTAGATGAATTCTCATATATCGATCGGGCCTCGTTCTCCGTATGATGGACACGCCATGTTCGAAACTGAGAGCGGCCTGGTCAGGCCCAAAAACTGAAGAGGGGCATTGAAACAGCTCGTGAGGCTCACGTGAATGGCCTAACCCATGGTTCTTGTCAAATGGATCTTGGTGAATTTTTTGTTTCAGTGGAGACAGGAAAGCAGTGATGTGAAGCACTGCAATTTGGAACTTTCATTGGCTTGGGGTTAAATTTAAACAAGTCCAATTAAGAGTATAGTATAATTGCCCACCAGTGATGCGCGGAAACCAGGCGTACATTTGCTGGAGCAGAGGATACTGATAGGTTCAACAGGAAAACTGGGAAGAAGAAGGTGAACGAAGGCCATCTCGAGGCTTCATCTTTCATGACTTGATGACCGTGATTGAAAGGAGAATGAATAATTGAGATGAACAAACGATGGGAGAGAAAGACAGAGCAATGAATGGAGTCAAATTGGTGGGCGTGTGCTTCTGATGGACATGTCGTATCTAATGGCAAGGAGCCATCACTGCCATTAATCCTCACTTCTGTTCTTTCTTATTTTTAATTGTTTTGGGGTATAAGTCTGTGGAGGTTGTGAGCCGGTGGTAGGAATCAAATGAAAGAATAATGAGGAGATGAATGTGAAAAGTTGGAGAGCAGTAAGGAGGTAATAGCTGGGGAGAAGACAGACGAACATGACAAAGTGGGGACGAGGTGAATGCAATGCGTGGATGTTGTGTTTTGAGTGAGATGAGAGCTTGCTCTACATTTATTCAGCACCTGAAATCCACAAATCTGCTCGTATGGTCCGCCCCCCTACTTAAGTTATTCTTACTTTTATTATTACTCCTCTTATATTTATTATAAGATTTAATTAACTAAATTGAGTAGATTAAGAATACTAGTTAAATTAGTTAATATGATATGTTTGTGCTAAAATACTCTAATAATCTTCTTTAATTCTCTCCCGGCCTCTCTTACTTTATTACTTTTGAGAGAATATCAATAGAATTAATTTAAAGAAAAAATAACAAACATGTGAAATAAATCTTATAAATAGGACTGACATCGACTCTTAAATTAAATTTTACGTTAACCGGATGAGTGTTATTCAAATATTATAGCAATTCGATGTTGAATATAAAACTTAGTTTATAATATACTTTGCATTAGTATTGGTAACTATATCTTATAATGGATATGTGAAAATGCATAGATATAAATAAAGAATGATAAAACGCAACAATGGGGCGGCGACACTAATGGATGTGTGGAAGTATGTGATGATTGGGGACGGTGAACTGCCGGGCACACCACATAACCCCTTGAGTTTGACTACCGACCTGCTCCCTCGCCTCCCCCCTTTTCACGAAACGCAAGGTTCCGGGGGGCAATTTTTTACTTTTTGAAAATACGTATTTTGAAAAAATTCATAATTTTAAAAAACTTTCAAGTATATCAGGGTGTTGTGTGAAACTTTCAAGTTTCAGGGCTTAACATTCGCTGGAGTAAGGGTTTCAAAAACATTTGTTTATTCTCTGGCTGTATAGAGGCTTTAAACTTAGTCCTTAAAAGGCTGTGACAACTATCACCCTTTTAAAGACCTTGTAAACAATTGTAGGATGCTCTTTTGGAGGGATTGGCAGGTGATTATTAGCCATACTTTTAGGGAGAACTTCGGTATTGATGATTATTTAGTCAAATCGTCTTATATAATTTTTGTACTCTTGATCAACCTACACCTCTTATGTAACAGGAGAGGAGTTTGATGACAAGTGATAACTCGGTTAGCTTGGTTGTACTTTTGTTATATAGAATCCAGGTCTTTATTTTTTTTTTGTTAAACATAAATTGAGTCAATTATGAGGTTCATGTGAGGCGATCATTCTGGAAACTCTTTTCTCCATCAGTGTTTTATTTCAATCTATTTATTGAATTTAATTTTCATCTCATTCTCCATAATTACTTTTATCACCTAATATCACTCCTTAAAAACCTTTTTTCCCCCCAACATAAGCTGAAAATGTGGCGAAAACTGAATGATTAACTTTCCCCACCTTTCTTTTGGGGTTAAATGAATGAACAACGCTTTATTTGATAGCAATATCTAAAAAGATTACACCTAACCCCTTCAGGATTCACAAACAGAGCACCTCTCTACTTTGTCCGGCCCTGAACTTTGAATCAATAATTTGCAACTCCAAATTGAAACATGTAGTTTAAAATCTTAGTCTCAACCCTAAAAAGAAACAAAAGACAAGTCGTGTGTTCCGGAAAAACTAGCTGGAAATCGAGATTCGAGCACAAAAGCAACATGTTGGCACATCTTAAACGTTAAGATATCCGACTGACATAGCTCCCGTTACAGATTTCCCGCCGCGCAGGAAATTTCCCAGACTCCTCAAACCACATCATGAGCTGTAAGGCTCCTCCCTCCCATACGAAAAGTAGATTGCATATCTCCAGCTCTGGCTTTTCCTTTTACAGCCGTTGCTTTTTCTTCCCCCCATTATTATTAACTACCATCCTTCCACCATTTACCCCCTCGAGTTAATATAAAATTCTGACAACTTGCTTAATCTTTTTCCTTCTTTAGTTAGCCGCTAATCAAAAAGAAAAATGATTAATTATTAGCAGCTTAGCACGCTAAGATTACTATTAACTAATGCCAATACGTATACGGGTCCACATCAACAATGTGGGGTTCAAAAGTCGCAATCGTTGATCCCGGTGCCGAGAGTGATTGGAGATC